AATTTTGATATGAGTGGGTTTATAATTTGTTCTAGAATATTCTAAAAATTTTTGCGTACTGTACTGTACTGTACGTGGCACATCACTAGGGTAGGGTCGAATTAACCAGAACGAAAGTCGGGTTCGCAGAAAAGACAAAGTTACCCTAACTATACTAATATACTACTATCAAATTACCTCACAATACCCTAATTACCTCATACTTACTTAATTACTCCATACTTATTCAATTACCTCATTCTTACTCAATTACTTCATAATTACTCAATTACCTCATTCTTACTCAATTACCTCATTCTTACTATTTTCGGCAATTAATTTAAGATTTAAGGTTATATTTATAAGCGTATTATTCCTTTATAAAATAAGAACCGCAGTTACACTATAATTTACTATCAGGTAAGGGCCTTACACCTGAATTAGTATGTTATTTGATATTAATATAGTTATACTGTAACCCAAAGTATGCCATGCAGTAATTACGTTGCCCTATTCTTGCTGCCCATATCCCAAACCACTATAGTTTGGGATTTGTCCGCGCAAACTCTTAATTTTTGCTAGCAAGTAACGTTGCCCAGTTGCCCAATAGAATTTGAGGTTTCGAACACAATTCCTGTATTTGCCTGTAAACCATACACTCCCTTGAACTACATTCTTGGTATATTACCTTTGTTAGGTAAGAATTTAACAATGATGATTATTCAATGATGATTATTATTTGATGCTTCGTCCGTTAGACTGAGGAGCGTTATGCAACGGTTCAATAACGCTGCGTAACATTCTCTCGTTCGATTCATCTAAAAATTCAAAGAACATTGAGTAGCAGTTTGGTTGAGCCCAAAGAACGTTGTGCAGTAGTTTATTATTCAGTTTCTGAGAAAATTATATAAATAATTAATAGAAATCATAGTTTATATGCATTATTTTTAATACTTTTTCTTTATTTTTAGAATGTCAGAAGCGGATGAATATTTTGAAAATTTTGATGCAAATTATTGGAGTTATGATGGATTTCAAAAATTCTTGACAGCTAAAAAATTTAGTGAAACAATTTGGATTAACTCCTTGAAAGCGATTAGTAATGATAATAATTATCCTGTAAGATGTCGTAAAAAAGCGAAACATTTTTTAAATAACTATTCTTCTGTGATTTTTGTCATTCCTTCAAAGCAAAGCACTGCTATTTTCAATTTATGGAGTAGTTTGTGTTATAATGCCAGTTTTCTCCTTTTGGTATTGGATAAATCTGCGATAACTTCCATTTTTTTGGCACTGTGCCTGCCTTAATACATATTTCTGCAAATGTTTAAAGATTTCTTGCGATTGTACGTATAAAAGAATGAAAAATGATTGGTACTTTTTGATTTTTATAAAAATGGTTGTTAATTATTCAATCTTCTAATTTTTTTTAATGACGATAATAATAATTACATTGATATTTGCATTGATATTTATAAAAATAATTCTTTCACATCTTTATTCATTGTGTTCGAATCGATCTTTATCATGTAAAAAAAATAAAAAAATAAAAAATCTGAAACGATTATGCATTACATATTTTCTTCAACACTTATGAACACTTATGGATTTGCAAGGATATAGCTTTGTGACTTTGACCGAATATTAGTATCTTTCATTGAAAATGCAAGTACTGTACCAGACAAAACTTACACACCATAACAATAAAGGATCGACTTATTATAATCACAAACAATCAACCTATATTCTTTAAAATGGTAAACTCATAATATTAATGAGTGCCCGAAATGCATTCATCAAGTAAGTAATAAACATGTTGGTGAAAAAATATCAATTACATAACATTATAACATTAACACTACGAATAATAATATTTGTTCAATTCAAGACACCCGACCAAATACCTGTTATTTATGAAAACCAAATTGTGGCACTAAATTATGTTCTTGCAGAAAAAGAAATTCATTATGTTCAAGGAAATGTGAATGTGTTCTATGCAGAAAATCAAAAATTTTAATTAAATTGTTAAATTATATATGAATAATGAATGTATTCATTTAATGTATGAAAATTTAGCTAGAATTTAATAATTCATTTTTATTTGCTCTTTAAATTTATAATATTTTAATTAATTTTATTTTTTCAATATTTTTTGCTTATTAATTGGTATTTTGATACCAATTCTAAAATGACATGATTCACAAATGACAGTTTATCCAGAATCGGCATAAATTCTAAATGCAAAATATTTTCTTCTGCAAATGTAGAATTAGATGAAGAGGTTAATGAGAATTTAGATAATATATTTTCTATTTTAAAAAGTAAAGAGGTAATATGATTGTGCACCTTTTTCTTGGTTAATTTAATAATTTTAATTTATATAATAATATTTAGACCCTTAATGCTGAAAATATATTTGAAGAACTGGAACAGAACCAAAAATTAGTAAATTTAGAATTAAAACTTTAAAAGAATATCAAATTACAACAATTGTAAATGTATTATACAGATCTTATTATTAAAATTTTGTAATAATTGGAAAAGTTAACCTTTCAAATTCTCTGATTTATTAAAATAATAAACTGAATTAGTCTTAAAAATTTCTAAAAAGAAGTTTTTTTTATTAAAAATGGGTGAATTAAAATTTTGTACAGATTTTAGAATCATATATCGATATATTGGGTAAATATTAATAGTTTTATGCTAGTTAGTAAGTAGTGTACGTTATATTATTCAGCAATTATATTAAATTTTTTTTTATAAGAATTTAGTATTAATATTATTGAAATTTAATGATCTTTAAATTTTGGAAATTTGTAAACAGAACTTACTATACAAAATTA